ATACAAGCAGGCGAGAGCAGCCTCACCATACAAGCAAGCATGGGGCAGCCTCACCATACAAGCAAGCATGGGGCAGCCTCACCATACAAGCCTGTGGCAGCCTCACCATACAAGCATGTGGCAGCCTCACCATACAAGCATGTGGCAGCCTCACCATACAAGCATGTGGCAGCCTCACCATACAAGCATGTGGCAGCCTCACCATACAAGCCTGTGGCAGCCTCACCATACAAGCATGTGGCAGCCTCACCATACAAGCATGTGGCAGCCTCACCATACAAGCATGTGGCAGCCTCACCATACAAGCATGTGGCAGCCTCACCATACAAGCATGTGGCAGCCTCACCATACAAGCCTGTGGCAGCCTCACCATACAAGCATGTGGCAGCCTCACCATACAAGCATGTGGCAGCCTCACCATACAAGCATGTGGCAGCCTCACCATACAAGCATGTGGCAGCCTCACCATACAAGCATGTGGCAGCCTCACCATACAAGCATGTGGCAGCCTCACCATACAAGCATGTGGCAGCCTCACCATACAAGCATGTGGCAGCCTCACCATACAAGCATGTGGCAGCCTCACCATACAAGCAGGCGAGAGCAGCCTCACCATACAAGCAAGCATGGGGCAGCCTCACCATACAAGCAAGCATGGGGCAGCCTCACCATACAAGCCTGTGGCAGCCTCACCATACAAGCATGTGGCAGCCTCACCATACAAGCATGTGGCAGCCTCACCATACAAGCATGTGGCAGCCTCACCATACAAGCATGTGGCAGCCTCACCATACAAGCCTGTGGCAGCCTCACCATACAAGCATGAGGCAGCCTCACCATACAAGCATGTGGCAGCCTCACCATACAAGCATGTGGCAGCCTCACCATACAAGCATGTGGCAGCCTCACCATACAAGCATGTGGCAGCCTCACCATACAAGCATGTGGCAGCCTCACCATACAAGCATGTGGCAGCCTCACCATACAAGCATGTGGCAGCCTCACCATACAAGCATGTGGCAGCCTCACCATACAAGCATGTGGCAGCCTCACCATACAAGCATGTGGCAGCCTCACCATACAAGCATGTGGCAGCCTCACCATACAAGCATGTGGCAGCCTCACCATACAAGCATGTGGCAGCCTCACCATACAAGCATGTGGCAGCCTCACCATACAAGCATGTGGCAGCCTCACCATACAAGCATGTGGCAGCCTCACCATACAAGCATGTGGCAGCCTCACCATACAAGCAGGCGAGAGCAGCCTCACCATACAAGCATGTGGCAGCCTCACCATACAAACATGTGGCAGCCTCACCATACAAGCATGTGGCAGCCTCACCATACAAGCATGTGGCAGCCTCACCATACAAGCAGGCGAGAGCAGCCTCACCATACAAGCAGGCGAGAGCAGCCTCACCATACAAGCAGGCGAGAGCAGCCTCACCATACAAGCAGGCAAGAGTAGCCTCACCATACAAGCAGGCGAGAGTAGCCTCACCATACAAGCAGGCGAGAGCAGCCTCACCATACAAGCAGGCGAGAGCAGCCTCACCATACAAGCAGGCGAGAGCAGCCTCACCATACAAGCAGGCAAGAGTAGCCTCACCATACAAGCAGGCGAGAGCAGCCTCACCATACAAGCAGGCGAGAGCAGCCTCACCATACAAGCAGGCGAGAGTAGCCTCACCATACAAGCAGGCGAGAGCAGCCTCACCATACAAGCATGTGGCAGCCTCACCATACAAGCAGGCGAGAGCAGCCTCACCATACAAGCAGGCGAGAGTAGCCTCACCATACAAGCAGGCGAGAGCAGCCTCACCATACAAGCAGGCGAGAGTAGCCTCACCATACAAGCAGGCGAGAGCAGCCTCACCATACAAGTAGGCGAGAGCAGCCTCACCATACAAGCAGGCGAGAGCAGCCTCACCATACAAGCATGTGGCAGCCTCACCATACAAGCAGGCGAGAGCAGCCTCACCATACAAGCATGTGGCAGCCTCACCATACAAGCATGTGGCAGCCTCACCATACAAGCAGGCGAGAGCAGCCTCACCATACAAGCATGTGGCAGCCTCACCATACAAGCAGGCGAGAGCAGCCTCACCATACAAGCAGGCGAGAGCAGCCTCACCATACAAGCAGGCAAGAGTAGCCTCACCATACAAGCAGGCGAGAGTAGCCTCACCATACAAGCAGGCGAGAGCAGCCTCACCATACAAGCAGGCGAGAGCAGCCTCACCATACAAGCAGGCGAGAGCAGCCTCACCATACAAGCAGGCAAGAGTAGCCTCACCATACAAGCAGGCGAGAGCAGCCTCACCATACAAGCAGGCGAGAGCAGCCTCACCATACAAGCAGGCGAGAGTAGCCTCACCATACAAGCAGGCGAGAGCAGCCTCACCATACAAGCATGTGGCAGCCTCACCATACAAGCAGGCGAGAGCAGCCTCACCATACAAGCAGGCGAGAGTAGCCTCACCATACAAGCAGGCGAGAGCAGCCTCACCATACAAGCAGGCGAGAGTAGCCTCACCATACAAGCAGGCAAGAGTAGCTCACCATACAAGCAGGCGAGAGTAGCCTCACCATACAAGCAGGCGAGAGCAGCCTCACCATACAAGCAGGCAAGAGTAGCCTCACCATACAAGCAGGCGAGAGTAGCCTCACCATACAAGCAGGCGAGAGCAGCCTCACCATACAAGCAGCCGAGAGCAGCCTCACCATACAAGCAGGCGAGAGCAGCCTCACCATACAAGCAGGCGAGAGCAGCCTCACCATACAAGCAGGCGAGAGCAGCCTCACCATACAAGCAGGCGAGAGCAGCCTCACCATACAAGCAGGCGAGAGCAGCCTCACCATACAAGCAGGCGAGAGCAGCCTCACCATACAAGCAGGCGAGAGCAGCCTCACCATACAAGCAGGCGAGAGCAGCCTCACCATACAAGCAGGCGAGAGCAGCCTCACCATACAAGCAGGCGAGAGCAGCCTCACCATACAAGCAGGCGAGAGCAGCCTCACCATACAAGCAGGCGAGAGTAGCCTCACCATACAAGCAGGCGAGAGCAGCCTCACCATACAAGCAGGCGAGAGTAGCCTCACCATACAAGCAGGCGAGAGCAGCCTCACCATACAAGCAGGCGAGAGCAGCCTCACCATACAAGCTAGCATGGGGCAGCCTCACCATACAAGCTAGCATGGGCAGCCTCACCATACAAGCAGGCGAGAGTAGCCTCACCATACAAGCAGGCGAGAGCAGCCTCACCATACAAGCAGGCGAGAGTAGCCTCACCATACAAGCAGGCGAGAGTAGCCTCACCATACAAGCAGGCGAGAGCAGCCTCACTATAGAAGCAGGCAAGAGTAGCCTCACCATACAAGCAGGCAAGAGCAGCCTCACCATACAAGCAGCCGAGAGCAGCCTCACCATACAAGCAGGCGAGAGCAGCCTCACCATACAAGCTAGCATGGGGCAGCCTCACCATACAAGCAAACATGGGCAGCCTCACCATACAAGCAAGCAAGAGTAGCCTCACCATACAAGCAGGCGAGAGTAGCCTCACCAGACAAGCAGGCGAGAGTAGCCTCACCATACAAGCAGGCGAGAGCAGCCTCACCATACAAGCAGGCGAGAGTAGCCTCACCATACAAGCAGGCGAGAGCAGCCTCACCATACAAGCAGCCGAGAGTAGCCTCACCATACAAGCAGGCAAGAGTAGCCTCACCATACAAGCAGGCGAGAGCAGCCTCACCATACAAGCAGCCGAGAGCAGCCTCACCATACAAGCAGGCGAGAGCAGCCTCACCATACAAGCAGGCGACAGCAGCCTCACCATACAAGCAGGCGACAGCAGCCTCACCATACAAGCTAGCATGGGGCACCCTCACCATACAAGCAAACATGGGCAGCCTCACCATACAAGCTAGCATGGGGCAGCCTCACCATACAAGCAAGCAAGAGCAGCCTCACCATACAAGCAAGCAAGAGCAGCCTCACCATACAAGCAGGCGAGAGCAGCCTCACCATACAAGCAAGCAAGAGCAGCCTCACCATACAAGCAAACAAGAGTAGGCTCACCATACAAGCAAGCGAGAGCAGCCTCACCATACAAGCAGGCGAGAGCAGCCTCACCATACAAGCAGGCGAGAGCAGCCTCACCATACAAGCAGGCGAGAGCAGCCTCACCATACAAGCAAGCAAGAGCAGCCTCACCATACAAGCAAGCAAGAGCAGCCTCACCATACAAGCTAGCATGGGCAGCCTCACCATACAAGCAAGCAAGAGCAGCCTCACCATACAAGCAAGCGAGAGCAGCCTCACCATACAAGCAGGCGAGAGCAGCCTCACCATACAAGCAGGCGAGAGCAGCCTCACTATACAAGCAAGCAAGAGCAGCCTCACTATACAAGCAAGCGAGAGCAGCCTCACCATACAATCAGGCGAGAGCAGCCTCACCATACAAGCAGGCGAGAGCAGCCTCACTATACAAGCAAGCAAGAGCAGCCTCACCATACAAGCAAGCAAGAGCAGCCTCACTATACAAGCAAGCAAGAGCAGCCTCACCATACAAGCAAGCAAGAGCAGCCTCACCATACAAGCAAGCAAGAGCAGCCTCACTATACAAGCTAGCATGGGGCAGCCTCACCATACAAGCTAGCATGGGGCAGCCTCACCATACAAGCTAGCATGGGGCAGCCTCACCATACAAGCTAGCATGGGGCAGCCTCACCATACAAGCTAGCATGGGGCAGCCTCACCATACAAGCTAGCATGGGGCAGCCTCACCATACAAGCTAGCATGGGGCAGCCTCACCATACAAGCTAGCATGGGGCAGCCTCACCATACAAGCTAGCATGGGGCAGCCTCACCATACAAGCTAGCATGGGGCAGCCTCACCATACAAGCAAACATGGGTAGCCTCACCATACAAAGGAGAACGGGTAATGTTCATACAGACACTAGGAAGAACAATGGTGGTTGTGGAGGCAACAACACAGTGAGAAAACAGCTTTATTGAGAGAAGTATTTACATAACTGACCCCTTAAACGTAAACAAACAAGACGGAACACGAGGTGCAGAAGGAAGAGTGAAGCCAGCGACGCGCGGTGTCCGGTCACGCCAGGCGCTGCCCCTGTTCACCGATGTTCACCACGCTGTTCATGGCGATATGGACAGGTGTTATGAAGAGCGTGAGGGACCCCTGGCGTGTGTGTGAGACATTACCCACAGACTGGTAGAGCAGAGGCGCCGCTGACGGTGCAGTAGAAGGAGAGGGAGAAGGTGGTGGCGGAGTTGATGGAGGTGGAGGTGACGGTGTAGGTGGAGGTGGTGGTGCTCCAGATGGTGAGGGCGATCCTTGGGTTCCGCTTGTTCTTCGCATCACCTTCTATGGCATCTTCCAGTGTTCCTTCCAGGGGCGACCTGTGAAATCACAAGACAATTATTTTATCTGGTTGGACCTTACAAGGCATATAGGAGGAGAGCTGCCCGTCCTCCTAAGGTGCCCCAACGTCAAGAAACTGTCGTACTAAAGTGCCCATATCCTGACCTACCAGAGGACCCAAAACAGAAAACAGGACGGAATGTCAACTTCGCGAGCCGCTACCATTTTCTAGTACGACGATTTTTAGCCTTAGGGTAGACTAAACGTCAAAATGCGACGTGCTATTAAGAGGCCGGGTTGCTCTTAGAGCACCAAGCCTGTATGACTACACAGGGCTTGGGAGGTGGATGAATGGTGCCCAACCACTTGAACCACAGAGGCTCGAACACCCACCTGCAAGAAGGAAGGCCGCCACTCTACCGATCAGTCCAAGTGGATGGGTGCCGGACCGTACACTACACCAGGAGCCCTGGTGTAGTGTCACTATAGAGTGCAAGAGGACTCTGTGCTGCCCGCGGTGCTCACTAACCCTTGTTGGGGCTGCCGGCCCTGTGTCCTAACACTCAAAGTGCCTGCGACCTCCCGACACATTTTCATAATTGAAAACATCATTAAGTATTTGAATATTCTTTGAGCAATGAAAATTTACAATTTTGGGAGAAATTCATAATGAAAATGTTTTTAAACTTATCCTTCATCACATATTTTATCAAAATTTTAGTGTACCGTCAACATAGATTCGTGGCTGTGTATTTGCCAAAGTCAACCTCTTGCTTGCACAGTATTTTAATCTATTTCTTGCCTTAGTATTAATGTGTAAAAGGGTTGAAAATCCCGTCTATGACTGATGTCATATGACCAAAATCGCTGAAGCAACTAAAATTCATTCAGCGATTTTTCATAAAAGAAATCACGTGCTGAGGAATGTTCAGTAAATCCAAAAAATCCTTCTGGACTTCACGGGGATGTTGGATAAACTGGTGGAGGCAGAGTGCTTGTGTAAGAGCCTCTTCACCTGAGTACTCGGGGAACTACCACTCAAGTGACTTGTCAAGGGATTCATGGTGCCCATCAATCTCTTACTTCAGGATCTCATCAAGGTCAGATTCTCTTACCACATTACATAATTTTTCATGACAATGTTTCCAAGGGTGACATTCTGACGCCTGATTTACAGTTTGTATACAAGAGCCTCGAACATTGTCTTCACATTGGAGAATCTGCCTTTCGTTTCCCTAAACTTTCAGATTCAGCTTGTTCATCCGGGTCAAAAATGTCTGGTAAGTAGACAACTTGTTTATGCTAAGTTTCCGCATCAAAGTGCGCCGGGAGGTCGTGTCTGCACTTTTACAAACAACTTGATTTCATCTTTCAACTCAAAGATACCAATGACATTTCCTTTGACAACCAGCATACAGCTTGATATTAATTTAAAGAATTGTATATAAATTGATATAGACTTAGGTTCAAATCTTTTACAGGAACCAGTAGAAATTTACTTTCCTGGACCAAATTTTTTAATCTTTAGACATTGGTAGTCAAAAATTATATTAGAAATCTAGTCATATCAGTAAAAAAAAAAAATTCTGCAGGTGAGAACATTTTGAAAGAATGTCTAATAAGGATCACTATTTCCTAATTTCTGATTATTCAGTCATACTCTCAACTTAGGCTCTGCGACCCCCCCCCTCCCTCCCAGAAACATTTCATGACCCCCCCCCTTGGGGGACGCAGCCAAACGTTTGGGCACTGTCAGTAGGGCGACGCTACGACATAAGGCCGTGTTGGAGCCACACGCTGCTGTCTTGTTGCTAAACAAGGACACTTCTGACAAGGACAAGGACACTTATTCCCTCCACAATCACTCCAACTCTTCCCACACGTCTCCCCACACCCCACACCCCCCAACCCCACACCCCCTCCCCACTCCCCACACCCCACACCCCCTCCCCACTCCCCATACCCCACACCCCCTCCCCACTCCCCACACCCCACACCCCCTCCCCACTCCCCATACCCCACACCCCCTCCCCACTCCCCACACCCCCTCCCCACTCCCCATACCCCACACCCCCTCCCCACTCCCCATACCCCACACCCCCTCCCCACTCCCCACACCCCCTCCCCACTCCCCACACCCCCTCCCCACTCCCCACTCCCCACACCCCCTCCCCACTCCCCATACCCCACACCCCCTCCCCACTCCCCACACCCCACACCCCCTCCCCACACCCCCTCCCCACTCCCCACACCCCACACCCCTCCCCACACCCCACAAGGGACAGCCCCCACTCACAAGTCTCTGACGACGACATCATCGACGGAGGAGTAGCGCTTGAAGCGGCGTCGCTGGCACACTTGGGTCTGGACCTTGAAGGCGCAGGTGTAGGGGGTGGTGGTGGTGGAGGTGGTCAGGAAGTACGCCGTCTTGGTCGAGTACGCCGCCACCAGCAGCTTGGCGTCCGACGACTCACGTCCTGACAACACACATTAAAGCTGACGCTAGTGGCTCTACAAGAATGTAATACTTCAAGTCTCTGTACTCTAATAAACCCAATGTACCTTCTTGTATATAAATAAATGAAACGAAGTCGAACCATGGTTGCACCCCCCTCCCCCCCTCCCCATGTACTCTGACTCTGGCGTCCTGTAGCTCCACCTCCGACGCTCCTCTTTCATTACACAGAGAAATCACATTATCCTAATTTATCAATGATCAGATCCACAGGAGCCGTGATGGGGGATCGAACTTATGCGCTGGGTGTTCCCTGATGCACGCTCTAGTCCACTACACCACGACATAGTGGAAATGAACATGTAGTACTCCAGGTTGCAATTATTTTGACCGTGTCGTGGCGTAGTGGGCTACAGCGGGCATCTGGGAACACCCAACACATAGGTTCGATCCCCCGTCACGGTTCCGGTGGATTTGATCATTGATAAATTACGATAATGTGATTTCTCTCTGTACACAAAATTGTTATTAGGAAATGTTACAATTACGCCGTGGCCGAATAAACCCAATTTTCTAAATATTGACTCTTTTTAAATAAGTTTTAAGTGTATTAATTTGCAAAAAATATTGAATTGGAAACATAGGATAATTATATTGTATATTTTGAACTAAAACTGATTTATATTTAATAAGTCGATTAATCCTTAATTAGTATTTATATTGACCAATATTAAATAAAGATCTTCCAGAGGATTAGAGTTAGAACATGTGTCTGTCTGTTAAGTCCATACCGGTGAGAAACCCAGTAATCCTAGCGCACCTAGGCCTCTGACGTCATGGGCATAGAGCCTGAGCCACGGCTGAGAAAGAGGAGGCAGTCTGTAGCTCACAGAGGGCGGACCCCGGCCAGGGTGTCTGTGTCTCCCAGCACACACCAGCAAGACCACGGTGTTTACCTCCAGTCTTGACGCACCACAAGCAGCCCAGCAGTGAGCAAGGTTATACTGGTCTTTACTTTAATACTAAAGTCTTGTTAGAGAGGATGGCACCGACGCTGCCGACTGAGTGCCTTATTCACGAAGCAGTTGCGCAAGCACTTACGAACCTGTACATTTTTTCTCAATTTTTGACGGCTTTGTTTCTAATTATTAAACAGTTAATGAGCTCCGAAGCACAAGGAGGCTGTTTATAACAATAACAACAGTTGATTGGCAAGTTTTCATGCTTGTAGACTGTTTAATAAATGTAACCAAAGCCGTCAAAGACTGAGGAAAGATGTACACGTTCGTAAGTACTTGCGTAACTGCTTCGTGAATCTGGCCTCGTGGCTAAGCTTGCTGCTCAGCACCAGCACAAAGGAGAGCTTTAGTAATGGGGCCATTGTAGGAGACGCTGGCACTCTGGCACTCTTTCACTCTGGCACTCTGGCACTTTCAGACTCTCGGACGCCGGGACTCAGGACTTAAGTACTCGGAGGATGCTGGGACTCAGGGACTGAGGGACTCAGGGACGGACTTACCGTGTGCCAAGCACAGGATGGTGAGGAACACGCCTTGAGCCACCCACTTCATCCTGTAGTCAAAATAAATCAAAATGAAACATTAGACAATTATGGTAAATAGCGCCTTCACTGTCCGGGAGTACCACTACTCCTGCCTTCACTGTCCGGGAGCACCACTACTCCTGCCTTCACTGTCCGGGAGCACCACTACTCCTGCCTTCACTGACCGGGAGCACCACTACTCCTGCCTTCACTGTCCGGGAGTACCACTACTCCTGCCTTCACTGTCCGGGAGTACCACTACTCCTGCCTTCACTGACCGGGAGCACCACTACTCCTGCCTTCACTGTCCGGGAGTACCACTACTCCTGCCTTCACTGACCGGGAGCACCACTACTCCTGCCTTCACTGTCCGGGAGTACCACTACTCCTGCCTTCACTGACCGGGAGCACCACTACTCCTGCCTTCACTGACCGGGAGCACCACTACTCCTGCCTTCACTGACCAGGAGCACCACTACTCCTGCCTTCACTGTCCGGGAGCACCACTACTCCTGCCTTCACTGTCCGGGAGCACCACTACTCCTGCCTTCACTGACCGGGAGCACCACTACTCCTGCCTTCACTGACCGGGAGCACCACTACTCCTGCCTTCACTGACCGGGAGCACCACTACTCCTGCCTTCACTGACCGGGAGCACCACTACTCCTGCCTTCACTGTCTGGGAGCAGCACTACTCCTGCCTTCACTGTCCGGGAGTACCACTATTCCTGCCTTCACTGTCTGGGAGCAGCACTACTCCTCTCACTACAGCAGGTCACTTTACTGTAAACTAGTATTGAATTGAACTATCAGAGGAAAGCACCAAGCCATTACGACTATATAGCACTTGGAAGGGATCAGGATAAGGATTTGGGATGGGACGGAGGGGAAGGAATGATGCCCAACCACTTGGACGGTCGGGGATTGAACGCCGACCTACACGAAGCGAGACAGTCGCTCTACCGTCCAGCCCAAGTGGTTAACTAGTAAACACTTACTACTTTTAACTAAACACTTTAACACTACATGAACCTGACTTCTCGGGGTACATATCAAGGTCACACAAGACATGCGACTGTGTGCATCATACGAGGCTGTTACACACACGGATGCAATACACGGATATTGATCTACATTAAAGCGAAAAGGAGATGCCTTTTCACCCACTGGGTTACCACCCCATGGAACCGCCTACCCGCCAAAGCCCTAAATGCTAAAAAACTGTTAACTTCTAAAATCCAGCTCGAGAATATCATCTGAGCAAATCGGGGAGACTTTCGACAACCCGCCGGCTTCCTGTCCTCGTCGAGGACACTAATGTTACTGGCTCTCAGGTAAATTAGGGAGATTAAGACTTACATTTATTATAGTCCTTCCTCGCAAGGTTACTTAGACATTCTTGTGACAATACTGAAGACTAAACAGCCCACCATGGTCTGTATGTGTACAATACAGCCCCACCATGGTCTGTATGTGTACAATACAGCCCCACCATGGTCTGTATGTGTACAATACAGCCCCACCATGGTCTGTATGTGTACAATACAGCCCCACCATGGTCTGTATGTGTACAATACAGCCCCACCATGGTCTGTGTGTGTACAATACAGCCCCACCATGGTCTGTATGTGTACAATACAGCCCCACCATGGTCTGTATGTGTACAATACAGCCCCACCATGGTCTGTATGTGTACAATACAGCCCCACCATGGTCTGTATGTGTACAATACAGCCCCACCATGGTCTGTATGTGTACAATACAGCCCCACCATGGTCTGTGTGTGTACAATACAGTCCACCATGGTCTGTGTGTGTACAATACAGTCCACCATGGTCTGTATGTGTACAATACAGTCCACCATGGTCTGTATGTGTACAATTCAGCCCCACCATGGTCTGTATGTGTACAATACAGTCCACCATGGTCTGTATGTGTACAATACAGCCCCACCATGGTCTGTATGTGTACAATACAGCCCCACCATGGTCTGTGTGTGTACAATACAGTCCACCATGGTCTGTATGTGTACAATACAGCCCCACCATGGTCTGTATGTGTACAATACAGCCCCACCATGGTCTGTATGTGTACAATACAGCCCCACCATGGTCTGTATGTGTACAATACAGCCCCACCATGGTCTGTATGTGTACAATACAGCCCCACCATGGTCTGTATGTGTACAATACAGCCCCACCATGGTCTGTATGTGTACAATACAGCCCCACCATGGTCTGTATGTGTACAATACAGTCCACCATGGGTCTGAATGTGTACAATACAGCCCCACCATGGTCTGTATGTGTACAATACAGCCCCACCATGGTCTGTATGTGTACAATACAGTCCACCATGGGTCTGAATGTGTACAATACAGCCCCACCATGGGTCTGTATGTGTACAATACAGCCCCACCATGGTCTGTATTTGTACAATACAGTCCACCATGGGTCTGAATGTGTACAATACAGCCCCACCATGGTCTGTATGTGTACAATACAGCCCCACCATGGTCTGTATGTGTACAATACAGCCCCACCATGGTCTGTATGTGTACAATACAGCCCCACCATGGTCTGAATGTGTACAATACAGCCCCACCATGGTCTGTATGTGTACAATACAGCCCCACCATGGTCTGTATGTGTACAATACAGTCCCACCATGGTCTGTATGTGTACAATACAGCCCCACCATGGTCTGAATGTGTACAATACAGCCCCACCATGGTCTGAATGTGTACAATACAGCCCCACCATGGTCTGAATGTGTACAATACAGCCCCACCATGGTCTGAATGTGTACAATACAGTCCACCATGGGTCTGTATGTGTACAATACAGTCCACCATGGGTCTGTATGTGTACAATACAGTCCACCATGGGTCTGTATGTGTACAATACAGTCCACCATGGTCTGTGTGTGTACAATACAGCCCCACCATGGTCTGTATGTGTACAATACAGCCCACCATGGTCTGTATGTGTACAATACAGTCCACCATGGGTCTGTATGTGTACAATACAGCCCCACCATGGTCTGTATGTGTACAATACAGTCCACCATGGGTCTGAATGTGTACAATACAGTCCCACCATGGTCTGACTGTGTACAATACAGTCCACCATGGGTCTGAATGTGTACAATACAGCCCCACCATGGTCTGACTGTGTACAATACAGTCCACCATGGGTCTGAATGTGTACAATACAGCCCCACCATGGTCTGTATGTGTACAATACAGCCCCACCATGGTCTGTATGTGTACAATACAGTCCCACCATGGTCTGTATGTGTACAATACAGCCCCACCATGGTCTGTATGTGTACAATACAGCCCCACCATGGTCTGTATGTGTACAATACAGTCCCACCATGGTCTGTATGTGTACAATACAGCCCCACCATGGTCTGAATGTGTACAATACAGCCCCACCATGGTCTGAATGTGTACAATACAGCCCCACCATGGTCTGAATGTGTACAATACAGCCCCACCATGGTCTGAATGTGTACAATACAGTCCCACCATGGTCTGTATGTGTACAATACAGCCCCACCATGGTCTGAATGTGTACAATACAGCCCCACCATGGTCTGAATGTGTACAATACAGCCCCACCATGGTCTGTATGTGAACAATACAGCCCCACCATGGTCTGTATGTGTACAATACAGTCTACCATGCTTTGTATGTGTACAATACAGTCCACCATGGGTCTGTATGTGAACAATACAGTCAACTATGTATATCCCTGGTTCTTTTAATGCAATTGATGTAATTAGAAATGTTCACCGTTCTTTAACTTTATGAACAACCGTCAGTCAAAATTGTGAGGAATGTTGAACACTCGTGGGTACACAGTACAGACTGTTGAACACTTGTGGTAACATAGTACAGACTGTTGAACACTTGTGGACACGGTGAAGAGTGTTGAACGGTAAAGTCACAGATTATAAACTATTGAACGTTTGTGAACAGAAAGCGAGGATTGTTGAATACATGTGAACACACACAGTGAGGACTGGTGAACAGGTATGATCACACAGTAAAGACCGCTGAACACTCATGAACACACAGCGAGAAGTGTTGAACTGGGAGCAGAGGCATCTCCCCAATCGTGCCCAAACTGTTTTACCACCACACCACCACAGCCTCAGACAGCGGTGTTGGGAACATCGCCTTGACGACGCTCAACACCGTATAGACGACCAGAGCTTATGGTCGGGGGCCGAGGCTGCCTCACGACCAGAGCTTGTGGTCGGGGGCCGAGGCTGCCTCACGACCAGAGCTTGTGGTCGGGGGCCGAGGCTGCCTCACGACCAGGGCTTGTGGTCGGGGGCCGAGGCTGCCTCACGACCAGAGCTTGTGGTCGGGGGCCGAGGCTGCCTCACGACCAGAGCTTGTGGTCGGGGGCCGAGGCTGCCTCACGACCAGGGCTTGTGGTCGGGGGCCGAGGCTGCCTCACGACCAGAGCTTGTGGTCGGGGGCCGAGGCTGCCTCACGACCAGGGCTTGTGGTCGGGGGCCGAGGCTGCCTCACGACCAGGGCTTGTGGTCGGGGGCCGAGGCTGCCTCACGACCAGAGCTTGTGGTCGGGGGCCGAGGCTGCCTCACGACCAGAGCTTGTGGTCGGGGGCCGAGGCTGCCTCACTCACTCATCATGAGTAAGGCTTCACTCACAGTGTCATGTTCACCTGAGATAATGTCCTGGAGGAGGAGAGGAGAGCACAACTGCAGGTGTGGCCGGGGTTATATACCTGCACTTCACCTCCTGACACACACATGTCAACAAAAACTCCGCCGCCTCACTTCCTCGTGCAGGAAAAATTAGAAAATCTTTTAAGTGTTTCGTTGTGTGTTCACCATCGTCCGGGAGAGGTTGTTAATGGTAGGTTTGACGGTAGTTAGTATTAGGTAGTAATGTTAGTAGTTGTTAGTAATGCACGTGTGACTGGGGCGTCTACCTCAGCTCACAGTCCTTCATGTTAGAAATTTTGGTGATTTTGAGGAAAATTTTAATTTATAATGTGGTTATCCTGAGAGATTGTTGGCGAGGTGAGTGTTGCTGCTCTCCCGCACTTGTTAGTGAGGCCCTCACTCCTCACTCCTCACTACACTCCCTCACACTCACTCCTCACTACACTCCCTCACACTCACTCCTCATTGCACTCCCTCACACTCACTCCTCAATATGGCCTCTCATACACACACAAGAGTCAAATAGAGAGAAAGATCTGGGGGTTGATATCACACCGAACCTGTCCCCAGAGGCCCACATCAAAAGAATATCATCAGCGGCATATGCTAGACTGGCCAACATAAGAACTGTCTTTAGAAACTTGTATAAGGAATCGTTCAGAACCCTGTATACCACTTATGTCAGACCAATCCTGGAGTATGCAGCTCCAGCCTGGAGTCCATACCTAGTTAAACACAAGACAAAGTTAGAGAAGATTCAGAGGTATGCCACCAGGCTCGTCCCGGAACTGAGAGGAATGAACTACGAGAAAAAGCTTAAGGAGCTGAACCTCACATCCCTGGAAACAGATAAGTAAGGGGAGACATGATAACCACCTACAAAATTCTCAGGGGAATTGACAGAGTGGATAAAGACAAACTCTTCAGCACGGGTGGAACACAAACAAGGGGACATAGGCGGAAACTGAGTACCCACATGAGCCACAGACATATTAGAAAGAACTTTTTCAGTGTCAGAGTGGTTGACAAATGAAATGCATTGGCAGTGATGTGGTGGAGGCTGACTCCATACACAGTTTCAAGTGTAGATATGATAGAGCCCAGTAGGCTCAGGAATCTGTACACCAGTTGATTGACAGTTGAGAGGCGGGACCAAAGAGCCAGAGCTCAACCCCCGCAAACACAACTAGGTGAGTACAACTACGTGAGTACACTCCTCATTATAGACTCACACACACACTCATCATTATGGCCACTTACAACACAGTACGGCATCACGACACAGTATGGCCTTGATGACACACTCTATAGTCATATACTAGATAGTGTGGCCCTCACTACACACTCAGTATGGCCCCATCACAACATACCTGGTATGGTCCCCTCAGATACACGCCTCATAATCATATATTCTATTATATATACTTTAAGAGAGAATGTCTGTCTGTCTGTTCAAAGTTGGAGGCCTGGGACCAGATTCACGAAGCAGTTACGCACGTACTTAGGACCGTCTTCCTTCGTAGCGGCTACGTCGGGATTCAGGTAGACTTTTAAGAATGAAAATCTTCGTAAGTAAACACCGTCGCACTAAGAACGGACTCAACCACTCGTAGGTTTACATAAACTGGATATAACTCAATTTTTCTCTACTACACAACACGGAGGATCGATTTTATTATAAACAAACAATTTAGCTGGCGAGTCTCACTCAAGGAGACGTCCTTCGTGTTAGTTATATGTTCATTCTCGGCTTGAAACTTGTAGTAAATATGTCTTTTATGATATTAGAATTTTTTTTTTTTGAGATATATACAAGAGTTGTTACATTCTTGTACATTCTTGTTTTATAATAGCAAGATGACCAGACCACACACTGGAAGGTGAAGAGACGAGGGTCTGGTCAACTTACTTTAGCCACGTTATTGTGACTCATCGCCTGCAATAGCAAGATATTATACCAGTAGTTATTAAGTAAATAAACACTGGTGAACATGAAATATGAGAGAAGGTGATGATCCCGGGCTGGTGGGAACATTTACTATCACCAAATGCCCCTGTTCACCCAGCAATAAGTATAGCTAGGGGTGTACCTTAGCTATACATACCCATTTATAATTTATTTAGTTTGTGTTTAGTTTGAAATTAAATCTGGGTGAGGCATAAAAGAAAAATATGTTGCACAAATGATGTTAGATAAGGGAATATCTTGAGGTTATCTTGAGATGATTTCTGGGCTTAGCGTCCCCGCGGCCCGGTCCTCGACCAGGCCTCCTTATTGTTACACACCCCCAGGAAGCAGCCCGTAGCAGCTGTCTAACTCCCAGGTACCTATTTACTGCGAGGTGAACAGGGGCATCAGGGGTGAAAGAAACTGCCCATTTGTTTCCGCCTCCGCCGGGGATTGAACCCGGAACCTTAGGACTACGAATCCCAAGCGCTGTCCACTCAGCCTGACGACTGAGTGGACAGCCAGTCAGGGTAAGGGTAAAAACTTCAAAAACCTTTGTAAGTGAATACTTAGGCCTATAGTTATTACTATAACTGAATATTAAGGCCCGTTAAAAAAGAGAAGGGAAGCAGGGGATAGTGGGAGGGATGAAGGGGATGGGGACTGAAGAGGGCCAAGGGACAGATGGAAGAAGGGTGGAATGTGGGGATGGGAGGATAGACAATCCTGAGCACCACAGTCTAACACCCCCATATATATATATATATATATATATATATATATATATATATATATATATATATATATATATATATATATATATATATATATATATATATATATATATATATATATATAATATATATATATATATAAATTTGTAGTTTTCATCTTACAGGTTGTATTACAATACTGCTTTATTTTTCTAGAATACCAATACTATAAGGCGTTGCTGTACACGGATCCAACAAAATTATCAGCAATAGGTGAGGCAGCTATATTTCTGAGAAATGCTTATTTTATTTATCTTATAAGCTGAGGCAGCGTATTTTATTTGAGGAATGCTCAGCTGATTCCTTTACATTTAGCGTGGAACAAATTTGTGTCCAAGACGTCTTCCTGTTCCACCATTGGGCTGTGTGTAACAATAAGTAATTAGCAAAAGAAGGCACCAAGCCGGGAAGGCTGTGGAGCACCATTGTGTATAACAATAAACTGATTTTGTTAACAGATAATGCACCTGTGAGTCAGACAAATCCTGTCACCTGTAAAAATATTGATCCAGTTATTTAAATAATAAACTCTTTTTCTACTGTGTATCCAAAGAAGTGAAAAACTGAGACATACTGCACAATTTAATGAATGATTCACAAGAAATATGACTATTACATATCAACAAGAGATCTTAATGATCCATGGTTAACATGATTTAATAAGCATAATACTGGTATTAATACAAACTATAATTTAAAACCTTTATTACTGATTTTTTTGTTAAGAAGCTTAGGTATAAACAGCAATGTGCTGCTACACTATTCTATATGAAAGATTACACAGTGTAGATAAAACCTAGCTATAAGTTCATCTAATACTCCCATCTCACAGGGTGGTTAGTCATACATGGAATCAGGGAAGAAAATACCAGCCTCAATACAAAAAACAAGTCAACTCTGACTTGTTACGGTATCGACACCGTCACTGGAGTATAGAGTGGCGATTCAGCGCCATCTATGGGTCTGTACTCCAACTCCCCGGTATTGGTGGCTACACAGACAACGCCATCTGTTGGTGGTGGCGTGGCAGCGGTGAATGGCTCCGGTTTCCTGCCTCAGTCAGAATGTGAGGTCGATGATGACGACCTCTGGTGGGAGGCGTATCAAGATCAGCGCCATCTAGGTTGTGGCTACAAGCGTAATATCAAGTCCCCGGTGGACGAGTGTTATCCCAGGGTTACCCAGTGTACTCTCCATCTGGCTAATGACGTTTTTATGTCCACAGAGGTGACATATGGAGGCGATTGAGCTGGGGCAGTTCACCTGGAGCAGTCCACGAACTCTTGACTTGGTCCTGTGTGAGGACTAAGTGGCCGCCGTCTGATTAGAGCAGTGTGTTAGCTGCCGATGTACTCAGTGTTGTATGGTCCGACGTACCCGGGATTGGCCTGTAAGAGTTACGAAAGACAGTGATGTGTCTATTGTGAAGTGCTGCTAGCAAGCTGCTAGAGGCTTCTGCCAGGGTGTTAGCTGCCCCTGTGTGTGTTAGTTTGGGACCCCTGTCAGCGTGTTGCTGAAGCCCTCTGCCAGTGTGTATCTGGAGAGCGAAAGGTTGGGTGTAGACACATCATGATACTGTGTGGGTGGACTGGCCCGTGTAGAAGGTGAACTCGCCAGTGTTTCCCAATATGAGTGGACAACATGTACCTGGAATGTGGATTCACTGGGCTTGATGAACACTGTCGTTGTGCTGTGTCCTGCATGAAAGAGACACCATTGTAAATAGGTGTAGGCATACTTTAATATTATAATATATTGATGAGGGAAATTGTATATTGCTTATCCCTCCCCCCATTATTTATTCATTGCACTACTACTTGAAACAACCAGTTCTTGAAAGCTTACCATCGACTTGGGGTTGGATATAGTGAAAGAGGTTATAACAGCAAGAACCCGGTTACTGGTCCAAGTGGCCGTAACAGACTTAACAACTTCACGATTTTCACAAGTGGTAAGTAATTAACCTTACAGTTTCTACAAGACTCCTCTCAAACAATGTAGTTTTTTAACATGTTTAGGTATACACAGCAATGTGCTGCTTCCCTATTCTGTATGAAGGATCACACAGTGTAGATCAAAAACCAGCTACAAGCTCATCCAACATCCTCAACTCACAGGATGGCCAGTCATACATGGCATCAGGAGAGAACGAGAAGTGTAAGGCTGATCTATGAGCCTCCACTGGCAAGATCTGGGTGTAGCACAAGATTATCTTCCAATATTCCTGAGTGTATGAAGTAATTACAGAGCTCAAAGAACCTCATATCATTTGGTCTGAAGTCACTGATAAC